CCAGAGCAATTGTAGGGTCTCAGAAGGAGAAAATCATTAAGGCACATCTCGAAAAGGCATCTTCTCTCGATGAATCTTTAGAAGAATTCTAATTTCGGTCCTATCTATCGGACGTCTCACACAGTATGAAGCATCCATCACCATGGTTGACGTTAGGCGGCCAGCTTTGAAGACAACGCTTGTGAAGGGAGCATTCATGCCTGCTATGCAAGCTCATTATATGACAGGATTCAAAGAGGCATGGACAGATTTGATACTAAATGCGATAATGAACTTGTGCACAAATTTAATTCAGTTCCACGTTCTGTCTTGTGTTCTGCAGACAGATGCCATGATTTGTAAATTCTAAACTCTCTGTTTAGTACCGTATTCTTGGTGTTATCGAACTGTTTTGATCTTCAGTCTGCAGTCCAGCTCTTTAGAACTGTTTTTTCATGAATGAGTCATTCCTTATCATTGTGGTTGAAATGTTGCAGTTTTTCCTTGTGTGTATTGATTACTTACCTTTCGACCAGTCAGACGTCGATCATCACGATGTCACGTTGAAGTGTTTCTTTCTGTCGCAGTAATGTTCCCTGCTTAGGAAGCCATCAGTTGAACATGATTCTGTCGTTGCCATCACACAGTCATTATTGTCAAGATTTCAAAGTAATCTCTTTGTATCTCTTTGTTAAAGCCAGTTTGTGCACCCTGTTTTATATTTTTGCCGTTGCATATTCAACAGTAAATTTTATTCCGATTGTATTTAAGCAGTCTTCATCATACTCACTGTCAAGCCCACTACACTTTCCACAGATGGCGACGTTGTTGTAATGCGTTGTATTTTACCGACCTTCTCTACTTTATGCGTTTTACTGAAATTTTGATCTTTGGGGCTGTGCGATGAATGCGCTTCCAGGTTCGCAATGTTATAATTAAACTTAGGAATTACAAATGAGATATCCGCTGTTGCAGCTGTGCCGACTTGTATAATGCCTTTGTTTTTAGATGCTCAGAGCGTCGTCGACATCTACGTCAATTACGACTGTGATTTGTCGTCTTCAAACATATTCGAACGACTCATTAACGATCTTTCTAAAATTGCTCAAGTGAGTTATTATTTATGGGATGATTGACTGTAGCTACTTCTGCTTTTCTTTTTATTCCAGGGACGACACGCGACGGAACTTGGTGCAGCACCAGGCCAAGAAAACGTCATGCGAATCAAGGGTCTCGAATGCTTAGTGTCCGTGCTGCGCTGTATGGTGCAGTGGTCACAAGACTTGTACGTAAACCCGGCTTCGCAATCGAATTTGACCGAAGAAAGCAATGGTATCATCCGTCAGTCTGGCAATGCGTCGAATGGGTCAGCCATTTTGGACAACGATCCTGTGTACCAGTTCGAGGAGATAAAGCATCAGAAGGAGATACTCGAGCGCGGCATAGAACTGTAAGAGCCGAAAATGAATGAAAACCATTCCGCCTGCATATAAAGTTATATACATTGACTTTACTGCTTCACTTGTGACATTACAAAGACACCGAGTCATTCAATCAGTCGTCATTCATTCGTTGATTCATTCACATAGGCATTCTTTCATTCTCATAAATTGCATGAAGTTTTTTATTCTTCACGGCAAATTTTGGATTGCTGGATGAAAATAAATATCGGTTTTTTTAGAGACGGTTGCTTATCATGTGATAAATTAGTAATTTGCGTTGTATAACGCCTGCATTTCATTATGACATCACCACATCCTTTGTTCATTCATTCGTTTTCACAGCCCACAAGTCCTTTCATTTATACGTTTCGTACATACGTTGAGATTCATACGCCGGAATATGATAATATGGCTAACTTATCCTAAACCGAATGGCTTTGCATGTTACACAGTCCCTTTCCTCTAGTTATATTAGATATTTAAGCATTTAGATAGGCTATGCTTCCATGAATGTTGATTACCTGCAGTGATAAATGTATCGCGCGTCATTTTACTTGCTTTAGCTGTGCTTAGCTCTTAAACAGAGTTGTTTCTTGAACAGGTACTGCTTTTGTACATTGCCGAACAAAAACAGAGGGCTCCTGCGCGTTTGACTAATACAAGGTCAGATTTTATGGCATGTTTCGCTCTCACCGATGCATTGTGTTTGAGTACAGCAACAGAGCTAGATGCACCATATAGCATTTCCCCAACGTCTTAGTACAATGGACATCTAATATTGTATATTCATTTATCGTAAGCTCCTTTTTTGTCAAAGTAGGTATGACACATACATACATAGTAATCAGTTTTCACGGTCCCCTGTTACCGTTGGATATGGTGGGGGATATGAGCTACGGGAGCTGTTTTAGCGATCCTAGTCTAGAACTAATATGGTGTTTTTTTTGCATTTCACTACACAACGCGACATAAAATGCTATATATTACATTTTTTGTATTTATTATGATACTATGCGTACTAAATTCATACTTATTTTTCCTGCTGTGTCTACAGCCATCCCATACATCGATATGATATCTTTATGCGATAGCATATAAGGAGTACCATCTGCTGAAACATCGTTCGTAGTGCGTGCCTAGTAACTCTGTCGAACAGAATGAAGCAACAGTAACCTGGCATTACAGATTCTTAAGTACCAGGGTAGCGTGGCGTGCCTAAATGATCCCTCTATGCGACTATAAGTAACGGAGCTGTGCAATACGCCGTGAAAGTTAGTGTGGTTCTTGGTGGAATTATCGGATATGATATTCAGGGTCAATTCAGTCATTTAAGATTGAAATATTTAATGTTAAAAACAAAGAGTGGGACAGTCTACGTCAAATTTGGCTTTTGAAACTGTGTTCACTGTCCCCTTATACCTTATATTACAGTTTAGTCGTATGTACATTTAACTTGTTCATTACTTGCCTCTTGTCGTGTTTCTATGCGTATTTGTTCAGCCGTTATGAAGATAGTTTGGCAGTACCTTCGAGACTTTTGAAGGTTTAATCGCAATCCGAAGCATGGTTTGAAATTCTTCCAAGAGCGGGGTATCGTTGGCGCAGATCCTTGGGACATTGCTGCGTTCTTTCATGCAGAAGAACGACTGGACAGAGCGGTCGTTGGCGACTACCTGGGCGACGGCGACGCGTAAAAAGGCCGTTCGCTTCTGGCCTGATTCGTCTCTGACATAGTGTTTAAGGTTTAACAAGGAAGTGATGTACGCCTACATCGACCAAATGGATTTCAGCAACAAAGAGTTCGTGTCTGCTTTGCGTCTGTTTCTCGAAGGCTTTCGTCTTCCGGGCGAGGCGCAGAAGATCGATCGTCTCATGGAGAAGTTCGCCAGTCGCTATTGCGAGAACAATCCTGAGTACGTTTGCAACTTTTCTAGAATTGAATATTCAGCTGATTTTGAAAAGCTGACTTCTCATGTTTACAGCCTCGGTCTGTTTGTCAGTGCTGACACCGCGTACGTATTGGCCTATTCGATCATAATGTTAACGACTGATCTGCACAGCCCTCAGGTACATTTCTTTATCATTTTTCTACATAACGGATTCATTTTTCTCAGCAGTAACTGTTTTTGTTCATCCCCATGATGTGGATAATTGCATGCTATTTTAACCTCCCTAACACCAGTTGTGCAATATGGGCTTTGCCATAATTCCAGCTGATTGGTGTAAATTTTCAGAGGGAAACAGAAATCAGATTCGATAGAAAATTTTATTCAACCAGAATAGCAGTAATTCAAAATTTGTCACTTCCCCAGATACTGCATGGTATAATCGCACTGTTCCGTGAGGCTGAGGATCCGTGGTTTTCTAGGACTTGCAGTTAGCAAAGATCTGTTGTGGCTGAATTCCCGTAATTCGCTTTTACTTTAACCAATGGTAATAATATATGCGTGTAGACCCAAATGTATAGTTATTGGTGGGTAGCGGATCTCCATTTCCATGGTATCGGTCAGAACTGCCTCATTTTAAAGTCGGGATCGACAGCAGCCATTTATCGACAAGCATAGTGTGTAGCCTCTTAGTTGCTTCCCATGCAGTGGTACTCATTATCAGGCTCAGAGGAAAGAAAGCAAGTGCGCTTGGTCGGGACTCGAATCCACGATCTCTCCGTTCCCTGGTTCTGACGCTCTATCGACTGAGCAACCCTGGTCGTTAAATGTTCTTTGACTCCGACTAGAACGTAGCTTAGTTTCACTAACGTCCCTGATCTTTTTCCGCCTATTATCAAAGAAAAGAATGAAACGTAATCGAGTGATAAATAAGTCGCCTTTGCACTTTCGCAGTAGTCATCTTCACGTCGTTCTTTCACGGTGCTCATGGTGTGGCGTTGACGTTCGTTTCAAAGCCACTGGCTGAAAGACTTATTTCTCTTATTAAGGCGGTCTGTAGAATTTTATGTACGCTGTTGTGCATAACTATGCGCATCATTTACACAGGGTGCTACTGAGATTTGTAAAGGACACAAAGCGAAACAGCCAGCCGGGATTGGAACCGGAATCTATAGATTGATCTACTATGCCAGTTTTTCGAAATTTAAATAATATCAACATTTCAATAATCTACTGTTTTTTGGTTTTATTGCATTGATTCTCGCCGTCTTTGATGTTCAGCGACTAACTATCCCTGCTGAATATTCATCTAGGGTCGTAGAGCCTTTCTGCTGAAATCGAACATCAGAAATGGCACTGCGATGACAGTCAGCTACACGTTTGTTGGCAACATTCACAAGATACGTTCATGATATTTGTAGGTAAGGAACAAGATGACTAAAGAGCAGTACATTCGAATGAACCGCGGCATCAATGATAGCGGTGATCTGCCGGAGCAGTATCTGTCAGATATATACGACGAAATAGCTGGTAACGAAATCAAGATGAAGCACAACTCAAGCAGCTCTTTCTTGAAGTCGACAAGTAGCAAAAAATTTGTATAATTTTCGGCTGATCGGTATTTTACTTGTGATCGATATGTCAGACGTGTCCAGCGACAAGCGTCGTCATCTCTACTATAGCATTGCCATGGAGCAAATGGCGATCACGGCGAAAGCTCTCATTGAAGCTGCCAGTCATTTTCAGGCATCGTTTACCTCGGCGACACACGTACAACACGTCGGCCCTATGTTCAAGGTGAATACACGTTTTCATTCGACAAA